ATTTTTAACACTTGTGTTCTTCTAAAGTCATGCTTGAAATCATGGACTGGGAGAGTTAGGAAGGTTTGTTTTTCAATAAAAAACACAGAATGTACTACAAAAAATGAGATGCATATAAAACCAAATCATATCAAATCATTTGTTGGTTTAAAATCCAAGTTTAAGATCGTGAATAAGACATATGACTCAATACTTATAAATATATACAAAATTCAATACTATAACAAAAATTCAAGAAAGACATATTCAGATATCTATCTTTACACAAGAAAATACGCATATCAGCATATAGGACATAGACTGTCGAAAGAGATACGTTCGCCAAGTCAAAATGTGCAAATGTATAATTTCATCTTCAACTTCTTTTTACAGATGCATTATATTTTTAGGGGTAAATTCCGTTATCTCTGGTTGTCTGCCTTGTTCAATATTTGAATTACTATAAACAGATACATATAATGCAAATTGTAGTATATGTCTCTGCTATTATTTAGTGTTATATCAAAATATATAGGGTTTTTTTCAGAGACAAGTGCCTGTGTTTTTTTAGTGCTCTGATACATTCGGGTTTAACAACATTTGAAAACGGATTGCTGTATTGGTAATGATATCACCATATTGATTAATAAATGGTCAATCATTTACCTGGTGAAATGATTACTTGTGTACAGATCACGTGACCGAATAAGCGACATTTTGAAACAAAAAATGTTTACCTGTGGCATGAATAGGAAATAAGTTGAGATTTCGATTTCGGTCACGTGATGAAAACAATAATTTTAGTATTAGATACAGAACAAAGGTAACAAAAACCAGGCTGGTAACAACCGTTACCGTATAGTTATTCTGCACGAGTAGTCAGGTCAAGTCCGAGACGAAAGCCGAGGACCTTTACCTGACTACAAGTGCAGAAAAAACTATACGGCTGGTTGTAACCATCCCGTTTATTTTGTTACTTTTGTTTTGTATCTCACTTGTACGACGTTACGAAGTAAAACATTTTGCATTTAAGACGATTGCATAATTAAAAAGATTGAATACAAAAAAATATGCATACCGGTTTATGTACCACGATGTTTGGAGATATTTAGTCTTTGATAAATTAGGGATTTTGCGTTAACACTAGCGCTTCTCAAATCTATCAGCTGTGTGCGAGTTAAATTATTGCTTATTCCTTTGATACATATCAGTGAAGTAGGAGTAGATTGCAAAGTTGAGTAAGGCGGGGGGATGGAGACTTCTTAAAGTGACAAGCAAAACAACAAAAAAGACCTTAAATCTATATTTTTCTATCATAAGTTCCTAATAGTCTAGAAATAAGTTAATATCCTCTTTTAAAGCTACTTCATATTTTGATAACAAAATAAATTGCCAAAAGGGAGGGGTCTTATAGTTTTGCCCCTCGCCTTTGCAAGTGTGTAATGCGGGTATGATCCCCTTTCCGGCTCCTACGCCCCTGCATTTATATATACCCTTCCACACCAAGAAAAAAAGCATGTATACGTACAAACAAACAAAGCTAAACAAAGAAATATGTTTTGCCTCTTCCATCCCCCATTTGAAAGGGGACAATTGCCCCCTTCCCCGGCTCATAACACCCCCCCCCCCCCCCCCCAAAAAAAAAAATAAACAACAAAAATATGAATAACAGATTTAAGACATTTAAAAATGCAACGACGTATGCAAATGAAATAAGAAAGAGTATTCAGACGAACGTAAATACGATATGTATAAAAATTTTCAAAATCAATAAAATAAAGAACAAAATATATAAATATAAAAAAAGCTCTTTCTATTTTTTATAGAGAATAACACGCAATGAAAAATAATTTATTTTGTCTCGTTTTAAATTTTTTGATCCACTTGTTTTGGATATCATTTTTTGGGGGTTTAATTTCATGCTCATTACAGAAATGTGATATTTAAAAAGACCCAAGTATTGATCACGTAACACAATATTTTTTTCATTTTCCCTATATCAAAAATGGGTGGACGTTTATTGACCGTTGAGACTGATTTTGTGCTATCAAAATTCGACTGAAGCAAATTCCTTGAACATGAAGAGAAAAGGGGTAATCCTTCTTTAGTTCGATTTAGACGATTTAAAAGATTAATCTTAACTGCTAAGCAAACCCACGAGGGGTTTGTACATGGAAACATTTTGTGGTTACAGTTACTCTTGCAGTCAGTAACTTCGTAGACACTTATTTAATTTCAGCATTTTGGGACATAGTTAGTTTTTTTTATAATTATAATTCTTATGAACACTTTTCATATAAATTATATTTCTAAAACAAGGTAATTAGGTCACAAGGTGTATGATAAAGTGCCACTGAATGCACAAGTGACTCTATTCATAAAACGTGTCCGTGTAACTTTAATAAAAAGTGTCCGTGTAACTTTAATAAAAAGTGTCCGTGTAACACCCGTTAGTGTTCTGTTTTTATTTAGCTCTGCTGGGGCAAAGTCGTACAACTGAATATAATGTAACCAAAAAGATGATCTAAAAAGACAAATTTGTTCACTGCCGTCGTTCTTTTATCGATATTTTGTTCAGATAAGTATTTTCAGTTACTTTTTTCAAATTTCTGAAACAGTGTGATGGTACCAAAGTGTACAAATTAGTACAAAAAACAGAAGAAATCTCGCACCCAAAGTCCCATATGGGTTATAACTTGGACCGATAAAATATTCATGTATTAATCCAGATTATTTGGATATTCTATCCCAAATGGGATGTAATTACTTTTTTTTTTTATAGATTTTACCGATGCCATATTTTCTTATTTTTGGGAATTTCTCTTGACTACATTGCCCTAATAGAGTGTTAATTTGTCTGTCTTTAATAGTATCCTTACTATTCATAAAAGTATAATTTCATAGACAATGAAAATCTTATACACAGTTAATTTCTTTTTTTAGTTCTTGAGACCTTATTCATCAGTTACAGAAAACCATCAATATACTGATGTTTACGTTCCGGATAATAGGATGAACTTTGATAAAAAAAAAAATAAACAAACCAGAAAAAAATGTTTGAGGCATATTTTGATCTCCCAAAACTTTATAGATTTCAGGGTTTGTCAAAAAATACTTGCATAAGTAAATTTTTGGAGAAGCATAAGGGGAGATTATTCAAACCTTGAAAAGAATATTAAAATGTATTTATTCAAGTAGATATTACTTACATCTTCAAGTAAATGTATATAAACATGACTTATATAAGTTTTGCCCTGATTGAAATCTAAGATTGATTGATTGTTTTATGCTTACTGTCAGTCCAGTTGCAAAATAGTCATGGAACAATAATATATAAGTTAAAATTGGTGCTAAAATTGTTGAGTTTTTACTTTATTTCAATTGCTACATTTTTGGAAAGATGTTTGATGAAAAACTGCCTCCTCAACTTGTATGTGCAGTGATTTTTCAGCTACATGTATGTTAGTTGTGTAGAATATGATGCAAGGGAAATATTAAAATAACACTTAATCTATGTTCTGCGCCAAAGCGCTTTTCTGGATTTACCTTAATCAGGAACACTCAACGCCAAAACTTTGAAAGCCGGAAATGATGATTAACTAAAAAATACAAATATGGTAGTTCAAAGAGAATTGGCTTGTGTTTAATGTTGGATATTGTTATTATGGTACATGCATATTTTTGCCCTTGAGGTCGAGAAACTCCGAGAAAGTTAAGAGTATAGTGCTGCCTTTGCCTTAAAAGATGTGTAACTAATTTCTGTAAATTGTGTTAGTTTTGTAGCTCTGTTGATATAAAGCAGTTTTATACTCTTTCAGTGTAACAGATAACTACAATTCAAATATTTCATTGGATAAAGCCCATATATAAATATGACATTGCATTATCCAAGTGTACAACATACATGACATATACAGTATGACAAATTATTTAAATAAAACATAGTACATGTACATAAACAGTGAAAATTAATGATATGCTAAAACCACAAGTCTTTTTTTTTTGTATATTACTTCCATAACTTATGGTAAACCAACTACTTTGGTAGCATAACTCATCCATCTTTTAGGCTCTAACTTTACAGTAAGGGTTAACCTCAATATGAAAGATTGTACATTGAATTTGACCTGAAATCAATCTTTGTCCTTTGGTCTTGTATGAATCATGAATCGAAATAAATCAACTCGTACCATTACAAACTCGTACCATGTCAAATGGTACCACAAAAAGTCAACTCGTACCAATGTTAACTCGATCCAATGCGAACTCGTACCATTGCAAACTCGCACCATTAAAAAGATGTAATTAACGATGTTTTATGAATTGTTCAAATTATTATATTTAATTGTTTGTTATCTTTAAATCACTTTCAATTTCCATTATAATTAATAAATAACATTCCTTTTATTGTATGGTTATGTCTATAATTAACTAATCAACTTGTTTAATCTAATTATACATGATGATTGGAGTCATATAATTGAACAGCTTGGAATTAATTGTATGTCTATTATCAAAAACAATTCCTCGTTTATACCAAACACAAGCTGATAAGAGTCGTCTCAAAGCCACATTTCTCACACTTTAATGCTTTGTGACAGTGAGAATATTTCAATATTTATTATCTAAAAGTTTGTGTATGTTGATGAAATTGTGAAATGAATATCCAATGTTCGAAAACATTAATAGTAATATTTGATGTTTTGTTGATTTTATAAACATGAATGTTGATGAAATTGTGGCCAATAAAGCAAAAAAATTAAACTTATTCTTTGCCACATTATCACAGCTGCTAATCAAGATATAATTAGACCTGGGACATACTATATTAGTACGATTGTCCTAGATTAGTCAAAACACGTAATAAACATATCATTATTTAAAAAAATCAACATTTAAAACCATTTGTTACAGTTGATTACACAGTTCTATTAAATCAGCTGAAGGAAGGAACTTCAATGAAATGATTTTGTATTTTTAAAACTATTTCCCCTTAAAACCATCTATTTAATATTTTTCAGTTTTTGCTGTAAGACCAGAAATAGTGGATGATATTTTACCAGAGGTGAAAAAACAAGGTCAAACAGCATACCTGAATTGTTCTGTCATAAATTTACAGTCTCCAGCACAGGTATATAATCTGATATTAAGAAGGGTAAACTTATCCCAAAATGAAATTTAGTCATACACACTTTCTACAGAGACTTTTTAAAGCTTAGGCAAATAAAATAAAATTGGGGTTTCTGTTAAAATGCTGAAATTGATTGGGGTCAGCTGGTAGGCGAATAATAAATAAAATGAAGAATTGACCTGGTTACAACAAAGAAAACAGTCTGTTTGTAATAGTGCTTGTTAAAAATGACAAAATATATATGGGAAGGAAATAAACTAAGCGTAGGTTTGGTAGCATAACACATTGATTTTTTTAGGCCTTGCCTATACAGGATGGGTTTGCCTCATTGTTGACAGGTGGTTGACAAGAAAACTTTCCTATGACAAAAAAAGATGACTTCAGTTTTCTGATTTGAATTTTCACTTTTATGTAAGCAACATGTCAACAGAACCTGTATATTGTGTAAACGTTACTCTGTATATTTATTTGCTTATTTCTTATTGGGATTTTCTTGATAAAAAGGTGGCTGTTTGTATCATCTTCTGCTAATCTAGCTTGTTGTTTAAACTGGAAATAGAAGATTGTGTTAGAGCAACAAATTGACCCTTTTTCCAAATATGGCACCATGCAGTCAGGGCCAAATACTGTGGTTGGAGAGATTTATCATTTAGTTTTAAACTTTTGAATGTTTTTAATATTGATTTGAACATATACTTTTATCGATTTTAACAGTATTGTGTTATGTTTAAACAGTTGCAATGGATTAAACAGATCACACCATCTGGTCTCCCTGGATACATATCCTCTGATGAAACTGTTCGTGTTGATTATGTTGTTGAAGGAAGAAGGAAATATGATGTGGTGAAATACAGATCAAACAATCGTGAAATGTACCAACTGATTATACGATCATTAACGGAGACTGATGCAGGGAATTATACATGTCAGATCTATCTTCCAAATCAGAATTACAAGGAATGGCCTCAAAAGTTGGGGGAATTAACTGTGCAAAGTAAGTTATTATAGGTGATTAAAGTTTGCCATGACATTGGTTGACATCATTTAAACCCATGCAGTGATACATACATACATATATATATACTTCGTAGACTAAACAATTTTTTTTCATCAGTTACATGTATCATTTATAATGTGAAAAAAGGAAATGTGGTTCATGTATGATTGGCAATGTGACAACTATATAACAGAGTCCAAATGATGTGGATTTAAGCAATTTATAATGGTCTCATACTATGAAAATGACAGTAAATTGTGCAAGGACATATCAAACATATATAGAATAACTGTACATTGTTTCAAAATAAAAAAATAAAAAATTTACATTTCGGTGGGAGACCTTTTTAAAACTTTTTCTGAATCAGTGATGTTTTTGAGCTTATTTTGACAAATTTGGGCCAAACTAACTGTTTATAACGAAATATTATATCAAAATTCTGCTTTCATTAATGCTTGAAACAAAAACAAACCTTTTTCATTTTTTTTCTAACTCGTAGCTAATGCTCATTTAATGTGTCTAAACTGCATTTTAAGTTTGAGCAGTAATAATTGGTGCTTTGTCGAATGAATAAATCCTTTTGTCCTTATTTAGCCTTTAGTTATACAAAAAGCTTTAAATATTTTAATTGAGTGTAACAAAATGTATATGACGGAATTTGTTTTCCGAATTTGACGATATATTATATGTATAATGTTGCAGTTTGAATTAAAGTGGTACCAAGTCACTATCTGTTGTTTGCAACAAGTATAAATTTGTATATACGGTAACTTGTTACATGTATATTTATAATAAAAAGAAAGATGATGTAAAAATAAATAAAAATAAATACACTATAATAGTAGGTTTTGCACTTTGATTTATTTTTGGTTTTAAAACATGTTTTCCTTAAAGTCCTGTGATCTACACAGAAAAGTCCTTTGATCTACACAGAAATGAAAATCCGTATCTAGAATCTATACTTCAAAAAAAAATACATGAGGGTCTTGAAGTATAGATTCTTGTTACGGACGTTGTTTATCATCTTAATTACGTGTTATAGTGTTCTTTTATTAGTCTTTGTAAATTATTACCCTTTACTGTTTAGTCCATTTTGGTTAATATCCTTTTGGCGTGGCTCGGTACTAATACATCATGCCATTGTGTTGTTGTGCTGTGGTCATTTGTTGTATTCTTGTCTATCATTTTTGCTTATGTTCTTTGTCTATATGCCATTTTGTTTTCTTTGTTGACATATTTGTTTGTTTTTATAGTGATTAAGATTATAACATAATGTTGACTGCTGTACCCCTAGTTTTGACATTTTTACCTAACTGTTTGTTTTGTTCGCACATTGTTGTCAATACAATGGAGTTTTATGCGACTGTCATACAAGTGAGAGATTTAGCTCTATAAAACCAGGTTTAATCCACCATTTTCTACATAAGGAAATGCCTGTACCAAGTCAAGGGACTTTCCGATTTGAATTTTCCTTGGAGTTCAGTATTTTTGTTATTTTACTTTTCACTGTATAGAAAATACATGAATGCTAGAAATTTGTTTGTTGTATGCGAAAGTTTTACATAAAAACTTCAGACGACACAGGATTGTTTTATCTTATTTTTGATCTGAGCGTCACTGATGAGTCTTATGTAGACGAAACGCGCGTCTGGCGTATTAAATTATAATCCTAGTACCTTTGATAACTATTATCATTCTATTTACTGTAAAAAAGAAAGAAAAAAATTATATTGAAAATAATTTCAATTTTTATTCACATGTTATTTAACAAATTTTACAGTCGCTCCTACTATAAAAGGTACCAGTGCTCTCAGAATAACTGTCCAGGAAGGACAAAATATCACACTGAATTGTGACGCTAATGGAATTCCTGCACCAAATATTACATGGAAAAGGGGAGATGGATTCCCACTGCCTAATGGTGGATTCCAGCAAAGGGTAAGGGAAAACAAAAGATATTTGCTTCTCAAGCCAGCTGCAGTAACTGTTTTTGACAAGGTTAGATAAAGTACAAAAAGACTTCGTGTTATAGAATTATTTTAGGACATTTTTCCTGTTTTCCAGATTTGTGATTAATTAAGTCATTTTTGAGCCAAATTAACAAACAATGGTACCAGTTTTATGTAATGTTTTGTTTTACAGACTGTTGTTTGTGTTTTCAAGTTTTTCTTGTTAGCCATGTTTTTTTCTGATTGTCCTCTTGATATCCTCTAATTCTATACTACAGTATCTGCTACAGCTATTACAAGACGAAATCATGACAGAGTTTACAATCAATTATGTGTTTCATTTTACAAAGTAATGTCCTATATACAATACAAAACTGACCTGTGCTTGTTTCAATAAATATGATTATAATGAGTTGGTGTTCTGCTTTAAGGAAAGTATATTACCATGGAAAAAGTGGGATACAGAACATTAAATAGATATTGAATAATTCAAAAAGGACATAAAGTCATAATTTTTTAATTCCTTCATGTCAGTAACTGGAAGATCCGCAGCATTAATCTCCGATTTGGCACCACACAATAACATCATTACAGTATAGTTATGTTCTTAAACATTTTTTACACAAGTTGTTGCCCTTTGCAAATTTTATCCTGGTTCTAGACTGGAAAAAATTAGCTGCTGCCCATGCAAACATGATAAGTTAAAAAAGACATATGGACATTTTTACCAATTTTTAATGCAAAATAACTATTGAAATAAAAAATCAAAGTCTTTATCTAGACAAAAACGCTTAAATGATATTAAAAGATTTGAAAAATTTAACGATTAAACACATGTACATTACGCACAGATAAATGAATTTGCCGTCTCAGCTAGCTCTTCATTGTCAATAAAAATGTATGTCCCTCTTGGGGGAAACAACTGGTCTAAATGGACCTCTATTTAAAGGATCAATTTTGGAATTTTGAAATATAATAAATAGCTCTCGGCACGATAAAGCCTTTTTGTGAAGATGCATTGAAAAGCAAACATCAATCAATGAATCTGAAATAGATCACAATGTGTATTGCCATCACTATAAAATAAATCTGTACTTTTTTATACCTCCGCCGTAGGCGACGGGGGCATTAAGTGTTAACTTTGACCGTCCGTCCTTCTGTCTTTTCGTCCTTCCGTCCATCTCATTTCCTTTTCCGTACTCTAACTTAAGTTTTCTTCATGTAAATTTTATCAAACTCATACACAATGCTATGAACCACAACACACAGATAGAGTTCGAATATGGGTAGAATGTCTAAATACAGCACAAACAACATTTTCTAAAAGACCAACAAATTGAAAAAGAATATTTAAACAAAACGCATTTGAACAATGTTGTTGGTGTTGTATTTAGACCCCTTTACCAAGAAATTTGTTTTGCATGCACACGTATAAAAATTGCGGCTTTTATCCAACGCAATCATAGGTTTGAACGTTGTTTTCAATTTAGAATTATTTATATTTTTTCGTTTGGGCTTGTATTATATTTGCCTTCGTGTTTATATGATCCGTTCATCCTATTTCGACTCTTCAAAATTCAAGAGTCTATCCTAAATTGAGGTAAATTATATGGCTTTCCAAATACCGTTTCGATTCCTAACATCACTGAAGAGACATTAATTGTCGAAATCCGGATATGGTATACACATTTTTGCACCTCATGTTTGCGGTATACCATCTTTTCCGCAAGTTTATTGTTTTCTGTTTGGTATTAAATTAATAATTAAGATCCATTTTGTTACATCTTGTGATCCGTTTATTTGGCAATCGCCAACGGCAGTCAACAGGGTTTAAGAACATCCGTTGTTCGACCTGTTAGTCAAATGCGTTTTGTTTAAATATACTTTTTTCACTTTGTTGGTCTTTTATATATATATGTATATATAACTTTCAGGGTGGTATTTACAATGTTTACCAAATAAATGCTATAGATCGTGGACAGTTTATTTGCATCGCTGATAACAATGTTAAACCACCAGCATCCTATACAGTACAGCTTGAAGTCAGATTTTCTCCTTACTGTACAGCTGTCCAGGATACCGTGGGTCAGGCACAGAATAGGAGGTTTCATGCAAAATTAGAGTGCTTAGTAGCTGGTAAGCTTTTTGAAGTTAATCTACCATAACACTCATTTGACTAATGTTGATGGTTGGGAAAATTATTTATTTCATTTTTCTTTTATGTTATTTTCCTACTTTTTTGTATATAAAATTTTGTTTTTGCTTTCTGTTACAAAAATTTACACGTATATGGATGCTACAATATGCGACAGGTGTTACCTGCAAAGTCTGTCTAATAAGCAAGCTATTTCATTTACTTTTTACTTATTTTTTTTAATTAAATATTACTTAGGCCACAAATTGATTTTGCCTCGTCTTTAAGTAAGTTATGGAGGGAGGCTGTTTCTGGCGTTTACCAGCTTCAGCATTAACATGAATGTATAAGTTTGAGATGAGGTTAGTTTAAGGAGAACCACTAGCATATCAGAAGTTTGTCATGCTGTTATGCAATTTATATATCACATCATCATTACAATCAAAGAAATGTGTTCTTTAATTGACAGGTAACACTTAAGGAGATATCGAATTTAAGTATCATTTGATTAAAACAAATATTTCCCTTAAAATGGAATGTTATTCAGCATTTTCACATCACTAAGCATTGTTTATTGCATGCCTTTTCAATCAAACCTGTTTAGTATGTTCTAATAATTTCTTATAAAAACAAACGATGAATTAAGGCAACAGTAGTATACCGCTGTTCAATAGTCATAATTCGATTCAGCAAAAACAAATCCGGGTAACAAACTAAAACCGAGGGAAACACATCAACTATAAGAGGAAAAAAACAAAACGGAACAACAGAAACACTGAACTGCAACAAAAGCAAACGCCAACATACATAGAAACGGACTGAATGATGACAACTGCCATATTCCCGACTTGGTACAGGACATTTTAAGAAAAAATGGTGTGTTGAACCTGGTTTTAATGTATGCCAAACCTCTCGCTTATATGGAAATGTTAAAAATACCGCTAAAATGACAACATAACGTGACAGGAATACAGTACAAACAAACACAAGAACACTCAGTACAGAGAAATACAACATGTAAACCACAGAATAACAACGGACACCTTCCATAAAATAACGATAGCACACCAGGACACCACAAACGAAATATAAACTGCGCGTCACATGAATGGATCAACGTCACAAAAAGTGACGTATATTTTGTGACGTTTATATTATCACAGGTAAATTTCAAAAAATAGATCAGATTTGTTTTATTTATAGACACGTACAAGAATTATAAATTGGGATGTAGTTTGTAATGGTGTTATTTTATGTATTTTGTAACCATGACAAGAATATTAAAATGGATATATATGTGCATATAGTTGCTTTGAACTTAAAATCATATAAATGAAGTAGCTGATTTTTTATCTTAACTTTTACAGACATATAGAAAATAAAAATAAATTAACTATAATATAAGGCAAGATCATGTAAGACCAAACAGTAAACACACATGAAAACAAATAACATAAAACAAAAACCCTGTAGACGAACCACGAGTAACTCGATTATACTAACAAATAAGACATACGTGAAATGTACCGAAAATACAGAATTCAAACCACAAATGAAATAAACAGATAACAACTCGACACACAATGACCCACCGGACCAACACGTATAAGAAAGTAACAAAATGACCGAAAGCGGGATATATAAATACCGAACCACGTCGTCTCCAACAGCGAACATAAGACATAACAAAATATCCAACTGGACTAATGAGCATTAAAATGTTATTTTATTCTGTTCTCAAGTTGCAGATGTTCATAAAATCAAAATGTTTAAAAGCTTTAAACCCTTTGTTAGTATTTAAAGCTCATGCAATCTAGAGAAATCTGCCTTTAAAGATAGGGGTGAAAAATCTCCGTGGAAGTAACTGTCAGAAAATAATTGTACGAATGGTAAGATAATGCATGAATTGCTAATCAGTTACCTTTTGTCTATAGTTAAATAGTTGTCTCAACGGCAACCATACCACATTTCAATATTTTCATATACTTTCGAAATAAAATGTCTTAGCTGAAATCTCAGACTGAAAAAAAAAATATATATAAAAAAGTTTATAGACTGACAAGTATATATATTGACCTTTATTGTTAATTGGTTTTTCTGATGTCATCGGGAATTTCAAGGATAATATGCAATTATGATTAATAAATGTATATATTATATTCTTAGCTAATCCTAGAGCTGAAGTTATATGGTACAAAGAATACAAATCAACGCAAGAAAAAGAACAAATTCAGGACAATGACAAATACATATTAGAACAACAAGATGATCAGAGATTGAAAGTTAATGAGAAATGGTACACTCTTTCAATAAAAAATGTAGAAGCAAATGATTATGGAGATTATTATTGTACAGGGAAAAATGAGTATGGAGAAAATCAAGCTAAATTTAAACTTTTTGGTATGTAAATTATATGTATCATAAGTTGTCGTGTTGTCATTTATCTGCTTTAGGTCATTACCTAGGATTTGTTTTAGTGAGTTGTGTGCATTATAGATATTTATGATGCATATTCTTAAATATGAAAATAGAGTAAAGGACGTTGGGCTGTAAACAAATTCATAAATGTCGATTTAGTTGTATCATTGGCAATCATACCACATTTCCTTTCTTTTATAGTAAGCTTTTTCATGCCCCAACATGACACAACACCCATAGGGTAAAGTATGACAAAACCATAAACGAAAAACAAACATGACAACCACTGAATTACAGACTCCTGACTTGGGACAGGCAGATAAAAAACGTGGCTGAATTGAGCATTTGTTTTAATCGCTCAACCCTTCCCTAACCATGGTCACTTGCGTAACAGCCCAACATAGGAGCAAACGACATGAACTGTTAAAATCAGTCGGAAATTGCTCTTCTGTTTGTTTATGATACTTGAGTAAGCTAAATTTGATGCATGGAATGATTATGAGGTGTACATGTCTGTCTAATAGTGTGGTTTCATCTGACACTGACCTCATTTTAACCGCTCGTTGATCAGGGTGAGAATTTTATGATTATGTTTTTCAGAAATTTGAAGTCATATGACAGCTATATTCAGTGTATAATAGGACTGTAAGGTTAAAATATCTGTCTGACAGAACCTATTTGACCTTGACCCAGATTTGATGTTCCAGCTGTCTTTGATGGAAAGTTGTTATTTTGGCAACTATACCACATCTCTTTATTTTCATCATCTGCACCTATATATGTAATTTGTTTTGCTCGAAATTGTAAACACCAAGTTGTCAATTATTACAACAAAATATGGGTTTCTTCAATGAGGACTAGTGTTTTCTTTCATCCTTAAATACTGTCAGTTTCTTTCGGTAAAGTGTTACTTTCCATTTTGAATTTTCCTCGGAGTTCAGTATTTTTGTGATTTAACTTTTTAATAAGTTGTTGTTGTCACCATTTATATACATGGCTATACGTTATATAAACAAAAACTGTTTGAAAACTGTTTTTTTTTTATACAATCTTTAATAGTCTTGCATTTTGATTTTAATGAAAACTTAAAACTAGTACTTACATGACAACAATTTGGAGCTAACTATCTATTCATATAATTAGATTTAACTTTGTATAAAAGAGCAAATCATGCAAATTTTGTGTGTCACATTTTTTATAATTTTACAAGCTGGAAAAAAATATTTAATAAAATAATTTCCGGAAAAATGAAATATGTTTATACAGCTTAAACTGTACTTATCAATTTTACATTTTAGAAACTGAGGAATGCCGAGGACAAAAATGTCCATCTGTTGGAGCTGGGAAAATTCCTATTAAGTTTCCATGAGATTTAGTTGTATCTGTCAATTCTCATCGAGATGTATTTAAAGATTGTGAATGAGATTGTTCCAATTTATATGAAATCAGTTAACATTATAAAATAAAATTTGTAAAATTTAAATTGTTTTGTTTTTCTGTTCAAATGAGATACTTTAATAAAAATGAAATTGAATGCAAAAAGGATGAAACAGAAGACCATTTGATGAACAAGGAGCTGTAGATAAAAAGTCCTCGGCCAGGATAAATATCCACTTCGATAGGTAAAATCGACCATCAGTCATAGTTTTGTTGGTGTGCACCTGCTTCCCCAAGCCGTCTCCTTTCAACAAAAAACATTCTATCCAAAGAAAACAACTCAAATTGCTTACTGCCCGTCACACCAGCAAGCTACCCCAAATGTTATTTTCAAATGAGGATCCCTGGAACCTTCAACGCACTATCCATACCTAATGAAGCCACCATTCGACGAATAAGGATCTCGAGGTAATTAACAATTCAAAGACTATTTCATACCTCAATGGGTGGTGAACACTTATCATTTTCGATGTAGCAGATTATTTTTATACTGTTCCTGCTTGCCTTCTTTTATTTAACACTTTTATCATCCTTCCAAAACCATAATTATATGGAAGTAGTAAGCTGTCCCTCTTTTGTTAAACTAAGAATAGGGGTGTGTTGCATGTAAAACATGTAAAATGTAATCTCTCAAAAATAAGATTGGGTTGGTTTGATGAAGAACTTCTTTTTTTTTAACAAAGGCAAATATGCTGTACAATTCAAAAAATGATATCGGACTTAAAACTCATCAAAGATACCGAGCTTATAATTTGCATCAGTCGCGTCTACACAAGAATCATGTAGGACAGAAATCATAATAGGGAGTGTCTAGTGTAATAGCTTTGTGGGAATCATAGACACTTCTTTCGTTGAAATAAGAAACATTCCGGAACAGTCGGAGGAGTGTAGCAAGAGCCATCGCTAGGAATATGAGGTTCATAGAATAATTGATCATATTTAGCCAGGAGAGTTTCCAATAAATTTATAATGTAGTTTTACACTATTCTGTAACCCTACTGTACTTATAAAATAACGTGATTAGAATGATTCATAAAAGGGTTATTTACCTTGTTTGGGATAAGCGGAACACATCAACATTAAGAATTGAACCGAAATATTTTTATTAAACAAATTAAGGCCAAATGAGGGCATAGAACACAGAACAATACAGATAGGCTTGGAACAAGTATTTGCAAAACAATAGGTTTTACGTTTAATTACAATTTAAACAATATAAAATGATTGCTATTCTCTCTATTGTCGTTTTTGTCTCGCCTGCGCAGTATGCTAGACATAGGTATTACTATCCTACGGCGACGGCAGCATATACTATTTGTATAATTATAACTAGAGGCTCCCAAGAGCCTGTGTCGCTCACCTGATTCTACTTTGGTTTTGGAAATCATGTAAAAATAGATTAAAATCATAACAGATACCCTAATAATGATTGAGGCCAAACTTGGTTTAATATTGGCCCCGTAATTTAATCAAAAGCAGAAGACTTTTGTAAAGTTTACAGAAATTACCAATAAATTCATTGAAATTGTAGAAAAATTACTTTATACGGACAATAACAAATCAGCTACAAAGTAACAACACTTGGTCAGCACCTCAAAAAAAAACCATCCATACCATGTTTGGGTTCAATCCATTAAGCGGTTTTCTAGAAGAAGACATTTGTATATATTTCCCGTAGGGTCCTTTGTTAAACTAAGTTCTCAATTGGCAGCCATCTTTTTTGATGGATTTGCTACAAAGTAACAAAACTTGGTTAGCACCTCATAAGGAACATTCATGCCATGTTTTATTTCATTCCATTTAGTGTTTCTCTAACAGAATACATTTGTATGTATTTCCAATAGGGTCCTATGTTAAACTAAGTGCCACTCTGGCGGCCATCTTGGATGATGGATCAGCTTCAAAGTAACAACATTTGGTCAGCACCTCATAAGGAACATTCATACCATGTTTGGTTTCATTCCATTCAGTGGTTCTCTAAAAGAAGACATATGTATGTATTGTCCACAGGCTCCTATGTTAAACGAAGTCTACCGCTGGCGGCCATCTTGGATGATGGATCGGCTTCAAAGTAACAACACTTGGTCAGCACCTCATAAGGAACATTCATGCCATGTTTGGTTTTATTCTATTCTGTGGTTCTCTAGAAGAAGTTCAAAATGTAAAAAGTTAACCACGACGACGACGGACGACGAAGATGACAGACAATGGACGCCAAGTGATTAGAAAAGCTCTCTTGACCTCATTTTTATGGTCCATTGGTCAATGTTAAGATTTGATGTTTTGGTCTATTTTTCAAGTACTGATAGCACTACGGCAGCTATATTTAGTGTAAAGATTGATTGTATAATGTACATGTTGGTTTAGTCGGTATCATCTGACCCTGACCTAATTTTCATGGTCCATTGGTCGATGTTTAGTTTTTGATTTTTTAGTCTGTTTTTGAACTACTCGTAGCAATTGGTCAGCTTGATTTGGTGTATGGAACAGTAGTCAGATGTACATGTCTATCTGGCAGGTATCGTCTGACCTTGTCCTCATTTACATGTTCAATTGGTCAATGTTAAGTCTTTTGTGTGTTTGTCTCTTTTTTTGTTACCTTAAGCAATAGATCAACTATATTTGGTGTATGGAATAATTGTAAGGTGTACATGTCTGTCTGATGGGATTTATCTGGCCTTCACCTCTTTTTCATAGATCTTTAAGATTGTTAAGTTTATCTGATACATGTAGCTTAACCTTTATCTTTTAGACAGCAGAGACACATTCATGTATGTAAACAGAAATAGACCAAGAGCATATTAATTTATTACGTCATTAAACTAAAACTTGAATTCCAACTTCAATAGACAAGGTGGAAAGAAAACAGCCTTTACTATTCCTGTTAGGTTCATTTTCTCATTTGTTTAATATTATATGTCGTTTTTATAAATAGAAGATACAGCGAGTAAATGACATTATCAACTTATTTTTTGAATATCCGGTAATTATTGTCCTGTCACTTGAAAAAGGTAACCCTTGTCATTAAAACTAGTTACATGTAGCTATTCTTGTACATTATGCCCAGTCCAATAGACAGGATGTCTCCTAGGGGGTTATTCGAAACCATAACAATATGACTTGCTTGAATAGTAAAACTTCCATCTGATTCCCAACCTTAACAGAAAAAAGTTAAATAAAGATACTAAACTCCAAGGCAAATTTAAAAAGGGGAAGTCAATGAAAACTGACACTATCAAACGCTATCAACCAAAGTAACAACTAAAAAACCTATGCCATATTCCTGTCTTGGAACATGCATTTTCAGAAGAAAATGGTGGGTTAAACCAGGGTGTATAGCCAGCAGAACCTTTGATATGTTTTTTTCATGTGTATGTGGTAGTGGTGGGGATTCGTTTGAAACACCCGAATCATAAATTGGATTTCACTTTACAGTAAGATTCGCCAAAAACAAAACAAATAATGTTGTCAATGACATTATGACTATTGCCTATCAATTATAGATGCTGGATGATATTCGATCCGTTTTAAAAATAATAAGCGTGTCTTGGCGTATTAAAGTGTATATATCTGCTGATATATCTTATAATTTTTTTCAATGACTTGGTCAATGCCATTGCTGGGGGAAATTGTGTTTTCCCAGATTTTACAATAGTCAGCACGTCTCGGCTGACATCAGATATCATTGAAATTGTTATTTTTGATAAATTTACTGTAATTTAAAAGTTTGAATAATTACAAAGACTGACCGTTTTGTACCTCTTTTTATTTTTTATTTCAGCGCCAATGATGAGTATTGATATGTACTGAATAGTTAGCGAGCATGTTATTTTGTTATTACCTTTTTATCGATCTTAGACAATATAAAGGTCTCCTGTAACAATATGATCTGGCCTGGAAGTTGAAGTATCAGTATAAGCCTTAAGTTTAAAAAGTATAGTAAATAATACTTTTTACATGATCGTTTGCAGATGTAAGAAAAAACAAGAAACATTCAAAGAATTGGTTTTATGATACCGAATAATACCGAACGGTTGGACAAGAATGAATTTGACTAAATGTCCATAGTCCATGTATAGATAGCCTAAGCTAGATTCTGGCAAAACGTGTATTTGAATGTTTGGTTGTCTCGTTATTGATTTGTTCATTCTACTGTTTTGTTTCGAGCGCCCCTAATGAGTCTTATTTAGACAAAACGCTCATTTTATAAACCATGTATCTTTGATAACTTTTTTTTGTTCCCTATTGGAAATTCAAATGCTGATGCCTCCGTTAGATATGGTTAAGGATTTATGTGAATATTTTTGATAACATAAGAGACATGAAACATGTTTTCCTGTTCCATAATACTATCTAGTAAATAAGGAGAAAATGGATATATTGTCTTGTGTTTGTAAGTGGCATCTATCTTCGTCCATTTTCCTGTCAACCGACCAAAAAGTGCAATCTTTTAATATAAAATTTTGATTGTACTAATGTATATGTTGATAAAGCAAACATTAGTCCATTGAATATCACAGATGTTCTTGTGTGGGTTTTCATACAAGGCATAGTTTCTTCACTGATTGCTAAATCCTATATTAACCCTGGCTTTCAAATAAAAAAGCTTTGTGTTTATCTTTAAACATAAGGAAAAGAAATCTAGAACAATCAAAACGTGTTATAGTGTTCTTTTATTTGTCTTCGTAAATAATCACCCTTTACTATTTAGTCCATTTTTAGTAAAATCCTTTTTGTGTAGCTCGGTACTTATGCATCCGCAACAATTTGTTGTTGTGCTGTGGTTTTTTTTTTTTTGTATTCCTGCGTTTCATTTGTTTTTTCATGTGCTTTATCATTATGCAATTTTGTTTTGCTTTTGAACATATTTGGTTTTTTTTATAGTGATAAAGATTATAATACAGTGTTTTCTGCTGTACCCCTATTTTTGACATTTTTACCTATTATGTTTGTTTGTTTTGTTCACACTGTTCACGCATTGTTGTCGATTTAATGGAATTTAATGCGACTGTAATAAATACAATGAGAGGTTTAGCTAGCAATAAA